AGGTTGATATAATACAAACAAAATAAACATTCAACAGTTATAATAGACACACATGTTCGTATGTAACACTCATGGGAGTCTGAAGGTCTGAAACAGCGGTTGCAGAAGACACAAAAGAAATGGGTTAATAGGAGGTATGGTCTCCTCTACAGCCTCTCGCAGCGTGATGTCATACTGGAAATAAGGCAGTTTATCAGTGCCTTCGGCAATTGGTCCTACTCATTCAGAAACACTGTTTTCAGTTCCTGAATGGTTTTCGTAGGGGTGTTGCGAGTTGCAATTGCCCTCCCCAGACATGCTCTATAGGGTTGAGGTCTGGAGCCTGGCTGGCCAATCCATCCGGCAAATATCCTCACTCTCGAAAAATTCGTCGACCAGAAGTTATACCATCAATTTCCGCCACAAAGCCATTAATTGCATAACCACGTCGACCAAAACTCTATGTGGCCTCGCGTTATCGTCCTATAAGATGAACTCGGGGCCCACTGCACCCCGGAAAAGGCCAACACCCTATACCTCAAAGACCAAGACCAAGACTCATCCCCAACCTCTACTCAAGAGGTACCCTACTCAAGACTCATCCCTATACTCCAAGACCTCATCCCTATACCTCACACCAGTCACAGAGCCTCTGTCAAAGACGTGGAGAAGTGTGCGGACATCCACCATTACACCTCCACCGCCATAATTGTTGATTTCGCTGACATTGGAGGGTAGGTAGAGAGTCCCTGGCTCTCTCCATATGAAAGTATAGCGAGAATCGGTGTTTAGGCTAAAACGGGACTCGTCGGTGAGGAGAACGGTCGCCCATTGCTCCGTACTCCAATCACTATGCTACCTGGCCCGTGCTAATCGGACTCTCCTGTCCGTAGACTTGAGCGGGACGCAAACAGCCGGTCTTCCAACGAATAACCCTCTGTCATTCAGTCTTTTGGAAAGAGTCAGCCTTGTTACACGGGTTTTGTCTGGCTACATACAGGTCCCAAGAGAGCTGAGAAGCTGTAGCCTCTCTGTTACGCCCTCTAAAATAGACAAATAACGATCTTCTCTGGCCGCCGTGGCTCTTGGACGACCTTGCCCAGGCTTTTTCTCGATGAATCCAGTATCCTGCAACTGTTCCATAGGTTACACACGACTCTGGGCGTTAAATTAAACTCTTTGCATATCTGGACTTGCGATTGGCCTGCCTCTATCCTCCCCACAATTTGCCACCTCATTCCATCATCTAAACGTTGGTGCTTACTCATTTTTACTGTTCCGATGTGAATTTAACCGATTGCTGCAAGATAACACCAAGAAAATCGCCGAATGTGCTAGCGAACGCAATTCGTCTTACCCTCCTCGCGCTTATAAAGCCTGTTTTTCTGCTGGCTCCATCTACACACATGTGTACGCTTACGTATTTGCCGTACAAGATTTGCATTTTTATCTAGAAGCAGTGGTTTTTTTTTCTTAAGTTCCATTCTTTTCATGCAATTCGATAAAATATGCAAATTCTCTTAATTTATTTCACCAGTGTATATATATATATATATATGTGTGTGTGTGTGTGTGTAAGTAAATTATTATTAGAGATTAAATGTATAATAAAATGGAAATTTGAAGAAAATGGAAAATGAAGAGTGTAAACTATTGTAATAATTGTATTTGTATTTTGTAGTGATAGTGACGGACGACGTGGCCACCACCCCTTTACTATTAAGTTAATTAGCATATAGGGCCACGTCCGGCCTTATCCATATCTATTGTAATAATAAAACATAGTGTCATTTAATCGAGCAGAAAGACTTATTTAAAAGTTAAAAATATGTTTTAAATATTACTGATTCTATTGAAAAAGGCTGACTTTTCAAAGGGTATTATTAGCCCTTCTCGATAAAATCGCCGGCAGTTATTGAGATCTGATCGTATTTCATACCTTTCGGCCATCTGAAAGAAATGCAATCGAAAATAATCCCCCCCAAATTCAGTCTAATTAAGTTAATTAATATTAATTTAGTTTATTTTCAAACATTGGTAAAAATGTATTTACCTGTGTCCCTTGGCGATTTTTGGCGATGCATGGACACCGAGTTTGTGCAATTCTTTGACTTATTATTTTGGCTAAATTTGGTATCCATGTATATATTGACCTATTTTCACTGCCTTTAAAAAAAAAAAAAAAAAAAAAAAAAAAAAAAAAATTGCACAACTTGGCATCGCGCACTCCCTTTCTCTGTGTACACATCGATCTATTTTCACCTAAAACGTCAAAGGAGCAGCCAACAAAAAATGTATAATCTCAATAAACTACATTTTAAATCAAACAATGAAATACAAAAGGAAGTTCATCTTAGCACTACACAAAGAAAATATCCACTTACCGTATTTAGACATTTCCGTGTCTTCAAACAAAAGTCCTTAAAATTATCTGAACTAAAATATGTATACTTTCATCGCCACATAAATTCACAAAAATAAGAGTCAAAAATATCCTCCGTAGTGCCGGTATTCTCCGGTGTTCGACCATACGCATTTCTTTCGTACAAAGAAGACGCTTATAATGGCTACTAAATAAACCTTCATTTACACACATCGAATATTTCTTTACAGTCAATTAAAGATCACAAATCTTTTCCAATCATTTCAAATTCACCGCAATCACGACTAATTACATCATAATAGGGTTTCCATAGCATTCAACTACTCAGGTTACTCTAAATGAAACAACAACTTAGCGATAATCCAAGGAGCACCCTTAAATACACTATAACCCAAACATTCAAGAGAAATAACTCGACACGATCCGATTTCAAGAAACATTGGCAAAACACGAATGCCGGAGAAAACGTTGATAAAACCGAATATCTACTAAAACAGTCGAGCCAAAAAATGCATAAAAAATCATACGTTAAAAATTAATCTTCTAAAATAAAAAGCTACAAAATAAAACCTGATTTTTTTACAATATGTAATAGAAAAAAATTATTTGCCTATGAAACATACGATTAGAAGACTGGAGCCAAAAATGAGTTTATTTAAAAAATCTGTAAAATTAATGAAATGGCACTCGATATTTAGCAATTTTTTCTTAATTAAAAAGGAAGAACAATCTTATAGTATTCTTAAGGGATGTATAATGTTTGTAAGGGATATATACCCACTTTGTTACTCGGCAACGTCAGCTAAGTTTTTTTTATTCTGATATGACTTATATGTTGCTAAGTTGTGCATGTTTTGTTTTAAAAAAATAATCGAATTTTGTTGTTATTCTCTTCCGGGTAAATTTTTTATGCCTTTAGTTAATTTGCATGCAATAGTTGTAGAATTATCAACAATTTCAAGGTTGTTTAAGTGTGGTTAAGCCTAATTTTTTTGTAGCTGCCCTATTTTATTACATTTGAAACTTATCAGAATAGTGAATTAAGTCAGCTTCTGCATCTTCAGTGTCTTTTTGCCGAGTGGGACCAAATGTAAACTTTCAGTTTTATGCACCGAAAAACTTGCCTTCTTTCCCACTGACCGAATTGCTTGTTTTTGCGTAGAAACTCCAATTTTAATTGTAAAAATCTTTTTTTTTAATTGTTTTAGCTGTATTTGGTGTTTTATATTTTCAATTTTTAATAAAGATATTTTGAGGTTTTATGTATTTTTGCCTTGCCACGAAGTGGGAACTGAATTAATTGAATAAGAACTATATCTCTAATGAAATTGGGGGAGATAAGTTTAAACTAAATGCAGAACAAAATGCATATAATTTAATATTTCGTGCATTGAAGTCATGCGAAGTGCAGATGAGATTTTTTTACTTATATATATATGTTACCGTGAAAGACCGAAATTGGAGAATGTCAACATTCACCAAATACGTCGGTGAAAGATCGAATATTTCTTTACATTCTTGTACATTCGGACCCTTACCGGTGTATGTCGACAATCACATATATGCTTTGGTGTAGGTCGAAAAGAGAGGAGTATATGTACACGCTGCCATTCCAAAAGTAAGTGTTCCACAAATAAATGCAGTTGTAAAAGAAAGGGCCTCTTGTGCAATTCAAGTGTCATAATAGTTTAGTTGTTGCAATAAATAAGATTTGAATCACATAATTTGGTAAGTTTATAAACTTCATTATTTTTCTTTCTCATTTTGAATGTACTGTGTGTTTTAAGTTCTTATGTTCTTATTCTGAGTCTCAAGTGCGTTTTTTCGCGAATGAATTACGGAGAAGGAAATATAATATTCTTATATGTTCAACATTCACCATTAGTACATGGTGAATGTCGACATTCACTGGTGTAAGTCAGAAATAAGAGTATTTGGAAAATATTTCGGACATACACCAAGCGACTATGTGAATGTTGACATTTACCGGTGAAAGTCGACATTCTCCAAATTTCGGTGTTTCACCGTAACATATATACTATAATCAAAATTTCTGTCTATATGCCATTTTAAATAGCCGTATTTTCTGGAAACAGAATTAACATTATAGGCTGGAATACGATGTCATTAGTAATTGCCATAAGTTCAGCACTTGCTTAATCCGTTTATATAAATTAATACATTGTAATCAGGATTTCTGATTGCGGTATTATTTTTAAGAAGATGCAGATTTTCAAATATAAATTGCAAGTGTGTTTTTGTGTGTCTTTGATTCTTGACGCATAAGACTATGCGTAGTTACAGACGACTGATGAAATGCGTTTGATACTTTGCTGTTTAAATAGTTTAGTCTCATTAGAAAGTGAAATGTTACAGATTTCAACTATTTATCGCTTAATATTTCATTTATCACTTAGTATTTTAATCACTTAATACTTTAATAATAATAATAATTAACTTTTCTTACAAGGAGATGCAGTCTTTTTTATCAGAATGTTTTACTATTTTATAAAATAATATACGCAGTTCATTTTTTAAATTATTTTTAATAAATATATCTGAATAGTTTGTAACTATGGGTACATCGTAAATGAGTTGATTGAATTCTTTTTAAAGATTGCATTCTTTGTGTTTTTAGGTACTTCGTGGAGAGTATTACACACCTTCGCGACAGTGCTACAGTAGAAGCCTTTTATCTACAAACGCAATCTCTAGTCTATAATGTAAGTTTGTAATCGCTTTATATTTGTACGGAAATTGTATTCTCAACTTCCAGAATAGTATAGCGCATGGGTAATCCGTAGCTACGAAGACATAGTCTTTGTTAAATTTTAGAGCACTCTTAATTGACAAACTGTAAAAGCATACATTATAAAAATATCACTCATTTACGGTGACTCTTACTTGTCACCGTAAATGAGGAACTCGGAAGGCAAAAGTTTTGGAAAATGTTTATTGAAAGTAAGTACAGTAGAACTCCAATTATCTGAATCAACTGAGACTGGACCCCATTCTCATAATCAAAAATTCGGATAATTGAATTTTTTCCCCGAAGAAAAGGTCTACGTACACTTTAATTAATCACTGTATGTACTTTATGTTGAAAATAAGAGAAAAAAAAAAAAGCTGTGTTTAAAGAAAAAGAGGTTTTAATTAATTAAAACGAAAAGGCAACACTTTTACGTACTTGTTATATAACGTACTTACAAGTGTTGTACAGTACTTACAAGCGTTGAAGCGTTGAAAGTCATTGCTTTTTAAACATCTCCGTCAAAATAGGCTGTTTGACTGTCTTCATCCGTTTTCGGGCAGCCAAGTCTCGCATCCGCTTGTCAATGAGAAGTTGCATGTGATCACATTCGGGCTGACGCTCCATCCACTTCAACACAGTTTCAAGGCCGACAAACTTTTCACTAGCTGATGGTCCCGTGTCTGCTTCAACTTCGACATTAAGGTCATCTTCTTCCTCGACACATTCTTCTCTCACACTTTCAATAAGTTCATCATCATTCAGAATTTAAAACTCAGGGGTCTGACGAATCACGAAACATCCATTCTTCTCTATCCTTAGCACTAACTTCTAAACATCCAGGAATTTTCACAAGAATGTTTCTTAATTCCTCAAGTGACACGTCATCCTCATCTTTCCTGTTTCTTTAATCTCTCGTTTCCTTAAATTCTGAAAGCGATTCGGATAGTCGGAGTTCGGATAATTGGAGTTCTACTGTACTTATCAAAGGATTCTATCTCCCACAGATACGAATTTTCAATGAAAAATGTCATCTGGCATCTGAGAAAGTAAACAATAGGTACAGGTACAGGTAAAAGTATGGGGGACACCAGCGATGTACCATGGGTCAACTGGTAATGCCTTCCCATACTAACTAACTCAAGGAAAAAAAAAGGGAGGAATTGCAAGTTTTATAAGAATTTACACAGACTGAAGCTTTAACAAAACCTTTGCAGATTTACTAAATGAACTAGTAAAAGCGCGTTCTTGAATTTTGATAAGATGGCGCGTCTTTCTGTGTGACATCCTTATTAGACAAATCAAAGCTCTTTGCCCGAAGAGTGGGACAGAGATTACCATTATTCAGGTTATGTACACATATTATACATCCACCGGAAGCTCACATTGCTAGCATTTGTACTATATCTTTTCATATGTTACATTTGATTTAGATCTCCCATTTTTTTAATTTTAAGGAAGTCCGTTAATTTATTCCAGATTTTTTGATAAATCAAAAATTGTTGTATCCGCAGTTCTGGTACGACCATCGATATTCTGAAAATAGGTTTTACTGTACATCAATAGGATATAACGATTTTACAGACTACTCTGGTCAAAGTAAATGAGGAATAATTGTATAAAACAGAAGATTTTATTTTACTGGTCACTGCTTATTACACCCCTCTTCAAATTAATTCCATCATTGTATCGCAGTTATGCCAGTGTTTTTTTTTATCCTAAAAATACATTTTAAATTTGTTTTTGTGAAATTCTTTCTGAACTGATAGCGAATTTTCTCCACCATCAATAGCTTTAAAACGGTGACCACGAAATGGTAGTTTTAATTGTGGTTATGAGAAAAAAAGTCATACGGTACTATATCAAGTTAATACGAAGCTGGCGGAGCTGTATTTGTTGAATGTTGAGTCAAATATTTATGAACAGCAAGAGCCTTGGAGGATTATCGTAATGGCATTATCGTGTGAAAAATCCAAGAGCTATCTTGCCGCAATTCAGGTCGTCTTCTACGAATTCCATTCTGAAAATTCCTCAGAACACTCATATAATATTCTTTGTTAATAGTGTGGCCGATTAATTGAAATGCATATTGCACAAAATATGACAGTCGAAGAAAATAGTGAATACTCGTAGTCTTGTATTCTTAAAAGATACTGATATGGTCTTTTCAGTTTTGCTTCATCTTTCAAATGCTATTAATTTGATTGCTGCGCTGTTTCTGTATTAAAAGCATGGATCGATATTGCATAGACGATAATAATGGATTTTTAAGATGGACTTGCGCTTGAGCATCTTCTGGGCCACTTGAATACGTTATTCTTTTTCAAACAATTCTAGAAGCTAAAGCGCCACAATCACAAAGGCGTTTTCGTAATCTAAATGATACAAGAACTTCTTAAGTTCCCTAATTGTTAAACGATAATCGCTAAGCACCAAATTTTGACTTGATCGACGTGTTACTGATTATTTGAAGTGAATGATATATAAGGGATGTATGAAGGAAATATAAATAGTCACGAAAGTCGAGGTCCATCTAGACAATGCTACAGAACGCACAGATCGATGCATACCAAGATAAGCGATGGCGGTTCCACAGTCGACTACTAGGGACATTTTACAGAATGTACAAGGAGCTTTAGATGCTTCAGTGTCTGAGAAAACAGTTTCCTAACGTTTGGATGAAAGCGGCTTGCACACAAGCCACACTTTGCAAAGATTGCCATTAACGCCAAACCATTGAAGCGAGACTGCGGTGGTGTTGTCAGTGAGCCACTTGGACATCTGAGTGGCACAATGTGGTACTCAGCGACGAGTCTTGGTTTTCTTTGTCTGAAGATAGTCACCGTTTATGCAGGCATTGCGGAGATAGATCCAATACGACTACTGTTTATGAACGCCACACCGCTAGTCAGCGTAGCATAATGTTTTGGTGCGTCATCAGTGGAATAATAGCAGTTCACCCCTGTTATGCTACAGAGACACATTTGTTTACGGAACTACAATACTTTAATGAGGTGCTGTAGTCGGGTGTTTTACATTACCTTTAGCTGCTGCAAAGTGATATTATTTATCTAGACACTGCGACATCGTACACAGCATTCGTCAGCTGACAAGCTTTGCAGCATATTTGACCTGCGATGTCCCTTGACCTTCCGCCAATCGAGCATATCTAGGAGGTGATTAGTCGTTGTTTGTCTGCTTTGTCCTGCTGTTATTGGAGGGCGAACTTTGGAGAGTCCAGAACATATGGGCTTCTATCCCTCAGACTACTATCCGCACAATAATTGAATCATTTCCTTTTACTGTTGCAGCTTACATCACCGCGAGAGGTAAACATACGTCTTTCTGATTCCCTGTTATTTCAGCGCTGGATAGATTTATTTTTGTATAAATAACGGCACTTATTTACATATGCTGCGTTATTCACATCAGCGTACATAATTCTGTCTGTGAATCAATTGACATCACATTCTACGCGATATTTCATGGTGTTGCAATTTTCTGTGTCGGGCTGGGCATATATATAAAAATTGCAGCATTTTTTAGAAAAATTAAGTTTGCAGTGGAAATATTAAACTTTATTTCTGAGTTTTGCAAAATGAGATCTGAAAATGAATTTATTATCAAGTATGATACTTCTTGTTTCGGATATAGTTCTCCTTCTGATAATGTGAAGATTGAGTGACTGATTTATGCAAAATAGAACTAACGGCATTTGAGTTAGTTTTAAATGAGATTTTTCAACCTGTAAGCCATGCTTGGAAGACTGCAGATTAAGATACTATTACAGCTGTCTATAAATACTTTTCAGTGTTTTGGCTGGATTAGAATAGTTGTATATCAGCTATAAATAGTATTTTAATTTTAAGGTCTTATGAGATGTCTCAACTGTATATACAGAGTTTAGAAATGAGGTTTGAGGCACTTTTGCTTTAACTGACATCTGCAGGGTCCGTTTCAAGTGTGAGTTTCGAAGTCGGACGCTGAATAATCTTTTATCGTGAAGGCAACCAATAAATAGGAATGATATTAGCTGGAAAATTAAGTTTGATTAATTTAGAAATAAGGCCGTAGGCTGGCGTTAGTCAGATACTTTTAGAGCATCGAGGGAGACGGCGCCGGACGGCAGTTGTTGGTAAGAGTGTTGATGATGTGAAGGAGGAGTAGTATAACGTTATGTTTTACTTAACGTTATAAATCAAAATGATTCGCGTGGTATGTAGGATGGTGTTTGAATATAATTAAGTATAATGTTTTCTGCAGTTTTAGAAAGAGAGCTTTTAGAAGGAGATTTTTGAAGTAAACTTTTGAGCAATCAGCTGTAGGCTAATCTTGTCAATATTTTTGAGAGAAGGTATTAGTAAGATTTGGTTCCTGAAAAACATATAATTGCTGTTTTCAATATTTAAAACAGTGATTAAATTTCAGAATAGTATTAATGATTTTTGTAATTGTTATGTGATACCTCTGAATGGAATATTTTTAGGTTTTTGTTTTATATTGATCCCACCAGTCGCCGAATTTTAGAGACCACTTAACGCTGAGAGTTCGACGCAGTGCGATCTCAAGCGAACAGGCTAGCTGCCTGGATGATTTCTGCCATGTGAAATGAGAATACGAGCTTCCTTGGAAAAATTCTCCACGATGGCATATCTTCCGCTAGGCATATAGCTGTCGTAACGGGCTAGCTGTTCTTTGCCGTATTCAGAAAGACCGTATGTTACGAATTTCTGAGAGATTAATTCTTTAAGTTCTCGTGATAACATGGTAGCCTGCAGGTGTTTCAGATATTAAATTGGAATTTACGCGCAAAAATTGCAGTTTAAAAAACTTAAAAACATTTTTTAACCTTTCATACTCTCTCAGTTCATACTCTCTTGTTAATTCATACATAAACTATCTGTTTGGAATGCCTGGCTTTCCCAAACTTTTACGCTTGTTTAAAAACTCCCATCTTAAGCTTTTCTTTAAAATCTCCTGATGCCTAATTGCGACATTACTTACAGCAGGTTTAGAGCAATCCATAACTAAATGCAAAAATCTTATCTCCAAAATAGTATTCTCCACAATATCTGAGCGTTAAACAATCGCCGAAAATAGTGTTACGAATTTTGTGTTTAGATAGTTAATTTTAGTAGATTCTATTTAAAAATGTATTGTATTTAATTGTCCAATGCAGCATGAGACAAATTTTAAAAGAAAGCTATACCGGAAAAGTAAGAATACAGGGCACGTGCATTTAACTTTGAGTAAATGAATATCTCTGTAATTTGTATTAAAATTGAATCAATGTAATAGAACACTATGTTAGCTGTTAACCGTAATTCCATGCTCTTTACATTGCGTTTGCCGAATAGTATGGGTTGCTACATCATATCATTTATCGCCATTCTTGGCCATATTTTTTGGTTAAAATTCTGGGTAATTATACTAAAGCTGTACTTAAATTGTTAAATGATAAATTTAACAGCAGAAATCATTTATATTGTCCATCTACTCTCAAAAGCCAAAAGTGCACCTTTTTGTTTTGCAATTCATGAACTTGCTGTCAAAATTTTTAACAATAGGTGTACCTTGATGGATGGCGCTAAGTCCTCAGTGTTTCACGCATTCATTTTGAACCGCCAAATTCATCATCCCGGAATGAAAAGGTGTCCAAAGCAGAGGAGAGTTTCTTAAGAGTGCTGAGAAAAACATAAGGAAACAAAAGTCATAAAATAATTAGTTCCAATAAACGTGAGGTAGAGATAGGACGTATTAATATGCAAATTAATTATTTGATAGTATTAAAGTATTTTATTTGATAAATACTATCTTAGATGCTGTTTTAAAAGGGTACCTAAAAATCGAAGCGTAAAACGAGGAATATGTTTTGTTTGGGGATCGTTTATCATTATATTGCTTAATGTGTATTCTCTTACTGTATTCCAAAAGTTATCTTGAACTCTGAAATTCATGATCAGAAGATGATCAAAAATACAATTTTTGAATTTTAATTAACTAGGAACAAAGCTTAAATTGCGCCGGCACTTCTAAATTTTCGATATAAATTGCTATTCTATCCAGAGCCTGCAATTTTTTATGTAATTGAACTTGATTGAAGCATAAAATGCGAAAATTTTATTTTAATAATAAGTAAGCTTATAAGTCGATTCGAACTTCTGAATGCATGCTTGTCTTTCCTTGGAAACAATCTCTTTGAGGGAGGTTGAGACTTAAGAAAATCTCATCCATCTCGCATCCACATATCAAGCGAATATTCTTCAGAACGTGCAGCAAATTTATGATAGTAGTTAAATTTTCCGTTCTCGAAAGTGCTAGAAGTAATCAGCCTGTTGTTCATGTCCAGCTTTAGTGACATCACGCCGAAAGGTAACCTCCTTTTTTTGAAGTAATGAAACTATATGTAAACCTATATGAAACCAAATATGTAGGATAAAAATTTTCACTTGTACGTTTGCTCTCAGTTTACAGATCAGGCCTAGGATTTGAGCAAGAATTCTCTCTTCGCCACACTCTTCTTGACAGCTAAAGTCATATTGGTATGGGATAATGGACTCTTTGTTTCCATGCCTAATTGCTTTCCTTTCGCTCACGCCATTTTTAGTAGCATTTACTCCGATCTCATTAGAAACACTTACCAGTTTTTCCTTTTTTTTTTAATGGTGTGCTGGAATAACAATGATCTTTGTTTCTAGTAATCCTCAACTCTCTACTCTGTATTGCCCGGGCTTAAGTTCAACCGGAGTCTTAAATAAAACAAAGTCTGGTATTTATTTTGTTTTTTAAATATTAATCATAAATTTAAATGTTTTATTAAATTTTTATTTATTGCTTTACATTTTACTAAATTTCAACCATTTAATTTATTTATTTTTGTTCCTCTTTCCTGATGACCTTCCATTGGGCTGCAGCACTTCTAATTTTAGAAATTAAGCTCTGACTTGGAATGAAATGCGCCTGTGTATGATTAAAAAATTACTCGCATAGTATTCTGTAAATGAGACTTATATATGTGAAATACATTAATCCAATACATAAATGATTACTCTTAGTGTCTTATACTAGGTATTATAATTGGTTATTATAATTGTGAGGCTTTAAATTAGGTTTTTCATATTTTTTCTAAAGCAATTGGAGCATATTTAAATTTTTACTTAAACAATCTGATGTGGACACCACATGACCTCTTTGTATGGTCTACTAAATTATACAGTTTTTTCGCTGCATTTCGTATAAACTTATTTCCTCGAATTTCATTAGAGATATAGTAATTATTCAATTAATTTAGTTCTCACTTTTGCGGCTAGGCAAAACACATAAAAACTCAAAACATCTTCATTAAAAATTGTAAAATACAGAAAACAACAAATAAAGTTAAAACAGTTTAAAAAAAATTACAATTAAAATTAAAGTTCCTACGCAAAAACAAGAAATTTGGCTTGCGGGAAACAAGGCATATTTTTCGGGCCAAGGCGTTGGCTTCCGGAGTACCTTTGCAACTAAACGCAATTACCTCCACAACTTCGTTAAGAAAACTGAATTAATTAAGAGTCGGAGCAATGGCTAAAGAAAATGAACGAGAACCGTTAAGGGTTTAAAGATACCAGAAATGAATAAGGAGTCCACACGAAGGGACGAAAACTTCTTTCAGCTTTCAGTTCACTTAGGTAGGGGTCAGAGACCTCCCGCCGATATTTTTCGGTACAAGGACTGAAAGAGTACTTTTGATCTCACTCGGCAAAAAGATACTGAAAGTGCAGGAACTTATTTAAATCACACAAATGTAAACAAATGGCGGATGGTTAGGCTCAACCCGTCACTTAAAGTTTTAAATTGTTGATAATTGTACAACTGTTGCACGCAGATTAACTTAAAGCATGAGAACCTTAACTGGAACATAAAAACCACATAATTCAATCACTTTTAGAGCAAAAAATGCACAATTTAACAACATATAAGAATAAAAATGCTGAGCCCAAGGAGCCGAGAACAGGATGGGATATACATATATATGATTAATGCAGCTGATTCCAATGAAAAAGGGAAGTGCACGACTACTTGCTATAGCAGTTCCGTTTACAAAGTTTTAACGTTCTACGAATACTCGTTCTTGAGTTATGCAAGATATGCACGTACGTACAGACGTCAAGAAATCTCTGTGAATCCATTTTAAATCCAATTTACAATCCTTTTTGGCAAAAATAGCCGTTTATTTTGTCCGTACGTACAGAAACATCGTTCAAATGGTTTCGAGAGCGGCTGAAATGGGCATTTTCGTTGAAATATGATACGTGATTACAATGCTTCCTTTACTTCATTTAAGGTAGTAGAACGAAAAGAGAGAGGAAGATTTTGTAAAAGAGAAGGGACTAGATTTAGTTAACTGGCAAAAAAAGGTTGGAGGAAAGGAACGAAAATAATAATGGAAACACAATTAGTTAAAAAACAGTAAAATACGCATTTGAGAAGCTTAATACAACTGAGACAAAACTGAGAACTGTAAGCTCTCTCTTTCTGCTATATATTTATATCTTTCTGAGCTAAGGTGCAGAATCACCCACTTATTTGTTTGGCTCTTTTTACAAGAGTAAGAATTGGATTTTTGTCAATTTTCTTTGACTTTTTAAGTGAAAATAGGTCGATGTGTGATTAAGGGAGTGCCCAATGCCATTTTTGTGCAATTCTGGGATTTTTTTTAAAGTGAAAATAGGTTGGTGTGTACATGGATACCGAGTATGTGCAATTCTTAAAAACGTGCCAAGCAGTGGGCGATTCTGCACTTTTCCCTCTTTCTGCTAACAATTTCCAGAAATAAAACTTCCCACATCATTCAAATCTACTTGAAATATGCAGATGCTCTTGTTATAAAAATCACCCGGATTTTATTGATGAAGAAGTATTAATAAGTAAGTGACAGATAGTATAGTATATTTCAACATGAACATAAAGAAGCAAAATAAACGAAAAGTGTATTCCTTTAAATATTGTTACAAATGTAATAAAAATTGTTCAGTAATGATTCATGGATTAATCAGAGAGGTATTAGATGCCTTCAAAAAGTAAAAGGCCATTACCTATCACTACTTTTTAAGAAAGACTTTTAAGAAAAACATTTGGAATAAATTTTATGAAAAACAGGATGAAAGAAACCCTATATTAAATTCTTAAAATATCATGCAAGATGAAATGTTTTTAAATAAATACAGATATAATTTAAATTTGTTATCGGTGCATTCTTTAACCATTTCTAAATTTTTCTTTTCAGAGTGTCATTGAAGTCAGTAGTGATACAGCTTTTCAACTTGCAGCTCTAGTCCTTCAAGCAACTTTTGGCGATTTTACAAAGTAAGATGTTTTACAAATTATTTTTATAGCATATTATTATTTTAAAACTTTATTTCCCCCAATTCAAATTGTTTTATATGTAAAATTAAACAGTATCCCCTACTTTTATGTATGTGTATTAAAAGAAATGAATTTCTGTTTTTAAGATAGCTTTTTGTAACAAAAATCCTGGTATTTTTATGATTAAATGTGAGACTATCAATATAATCTTTCAATAAATTTCCTTGTTCATCTGAAAAAATAATTTTTATATTCAGTGGGATTTATTCCTTGAAATAGAATACCTTCCTCAAATCATAACTGTATAATTTATTTATGTAATTTATTGTGAAACACTGCATTTGTGACTGACAGCATCCAGCATATAATTTAATTTGCACTGGGGTTGAGTTATTGAGAAAGAATAGAACAACAACATTAGAACAAATGTTACTGAAAAGTTACTACTGCCATAACTGCATTTAATCTGCCCTTTTAAATGAGCAAGATGCAAAACCAGTACTAGTTCTAGTGGTAAATTGAAATTAATTTTCCATAATGCTTACATATTTGTTGTAACTAGAGAAGAAACTTTTATGATTAGATGAAATAATTAACATCATGTAAAGTGTTGTGTTAATAAATTATATCATTTTAAAATAATTTTGTTTTGATTAGTAATAAACTCTTTTTTTAATGATATAATAGATAATATGAACAACATTAAAATTTTGTTAGATTCTTTCTCTTTAATGTTTTATTTCTATTAATTATGAAGATAAATGATTTTATAATACAGGTTTTGATATTGTTTCAGTTTTATTAATATTTCTTTTTAATGCCAGCCGTACTGCATTATTTTATTTAATATACATTTTATTTATAATAGCAATAACTTTTTAGTCACTAGTTTTAGATTAATTTAGGAGCTATGTGCTGTTGATATAATTACTTTACATTATTAAATTTATCAAAGTTGTACTTTTTTGAAATTTTGTTTTTTAGTGATGAAACTGCAAAGCAGCAATTAAAAAAATTACCTGTTTTGCCTACCAGTGCATTAGTTGAGCATCCTTCTTTAACTGTATGGTAAGTATACAAATTGTAACATCAGTAGATTTTATTTTATAGCCCTAACTGACTATAAACCATGTAACTAAAATACCAACTAATATAATTTACCTAAATTCTCTATAAGTTATTTGTATACATTTTAATTTATTAAATGTAAATTAATTTATACTAAATGCAACAACTTTAAGACACTGCATAAATAAAATCATCAATCTTTAGCAAATTCATCCAAGTTTAGTTCTTAGGACAGAAATCTTTTTTAGTTAATATATTATATGAGTGAGCTTCTCCCAAAAATTTTCTGATCTCGGAGAAGTCATATTTGGGCATCGTTATTTTAATTCCAGTATGTAATAAAATGTATTACTGATATGCACTGTTAATGCATTAAAACCGGACCTTTTTTTTTTTTTTTTTCCATGTAACTTTAATTATAACAAATTTAAAGTTGGTTGTAAAACTTCCAACTACTACTAATAAGCATGAAGTCAATGAATATAACATGAGCATAACCTTATACTACATATATATTACTTTATAATATTTTAACATTTAAAATATTTTTATATTTATAAGGAGATAATAAAGCTAAATATAAAATACATATTTAAATTACAATGTGTGCAAGTGTTTATTATTTTGTTTGATCATTTGCAACTTTTCTTGAAGAACAATGTTTAGGAGCTGTTGCATATTGCTACTTATTATTAGCTCCTCTTAAATGGAAAACTTGCTATTTATTTGGGTTAAGTCTTCATAAAACGTATGTGCTCTTCCCAGCAAACACTTTATTTGAGCTGCATGCACATAATTAGAAATTCACCAAACTAGAAAAATAGTTGCTAACCGGGTTTTAAATCTTTTTAGCACCAAAAGTTAGCAAAATGGTTAGTTTGTAGAGACATTAGGATTTTTTTGGATACAAGCAAAATGAAAAAAGAGCAAGCTCCTTCGCCAGGGATCAAACCACGGACTTCTGAAATACCCGCTCAGTGTGCTGAACACTACACCACAAAGGCACGCTAGGAAGGTGGAAGAAATACCTTATATACTCCCCCTTTTAAAGGGCAACTGAGGTTTTTAGGGGACCCAATCACCAAATCCTGGGTGTGGAGAGTCATCATCCACAACACTTTTAGTTCGAGCACCACTTATAGAGACATTAAGTTTTTTTGGATGCAGGCAAGATGAAAAATGAACAAGCGCCTTTGCCGGGAATCGAACTGCGGACCTCTCAAATACCGGCTTAGTGTGCTGACCACTACATCATGAAGGCACGCTAGGAAGGTGGGAGAAATACCTTATAAGTTAAATGTTGAAATGTATGCTTCTTTCGACAGAACTGAGAGGAGGGTGGGTTTACACTGATAAACATGGGAAATCACTGAATAGCAAGGTCTGCAGTGCAGAATTCCCGTCATTAGTGGTTTTCACTTATGATGTAGTATTTCTAATTATAGTATGTCACAAGATAGAAGTATATTTTGATATAAAATGGCAAGTGAAACTGAAGTTTTATACTGGAAGAAAATGCTGTCATATCATTTTCAATTGCTGCAGAAGTAATTTCATTTGTAAATACAGTACTGCTATCTTCTGCATTTGGTAAAAAATAAGTGATTGGATTGTTCAAAATTATTTTTCTTACCCTAGTTTTGAATTTTATGTTATGCACATTTCAGAAACTGTTGAATATAAGTCTGGAGTCTTATAAAGAATGTGAAGTTATGAAGAAATTGAAGGTATTATAATAATGCAGAAAATTCTCTAAATAATGATAAATATAGTGATTTTGAAGTGTTGGAAATAGCTGTTTAAACAAGACAGAAACTATGTAATTTGAGTATGGACAAGTGAATTTAAAGAACTCGTAAATTATGAATATACTTCAGAGAAAAGAAGAAATAAATGCTGTAAATCTATAATTTGCATTAAATATCTGAGGTTTTTTTTTTTTTTTTTTTTTATGTTCAGAAATAATGTAATAAAAAGATGAAGCAAAATATGCTACACATATTTTTCCAACTATAATTCTTAGGGGCATTCTAATATTTGCTGAGCTTCTGAAAAGGAAAAATTAAGACTGGTTGTCTTTTTAATATTTTTTTAAAACTTAACATAGGCTTTCTTGTTAATTGAAAAGTAACATCGCAGCATTGTTACAGAAGAGGAAAGTCATCAGCTTTCCCGATGCTCAGATGTATCTAACTCTCTCGGCATTTCTCAGACAAAATCAACGTTTTCTTTTCTCATACCAGAACAGTGACAAATATACCCACTAAAGAGGTTGTCCTTAACGAGTTTTTCTTGGTCACTTTCACTGGCCCGCTGTGGATTCTGGAGTTATTCCTAAGAGAAGAAGTTCTCTAAAGTCACATGCTATGTTGTTATAACTTCTTCCCTCCCGAAGGGGGGCTGTTGTCCAGCATATACAGTCAAAAGTTGTTCATTCGGACACCCATAATCCGGAATGATCTATAATCCGAACCTCAAAGCTAAAAACTTTCTGCGCATGCGCCGCGTTGACGCATGCGCATAGGCGTTTATGCGTGTGCTTAAGACCTTTACGACTGCGCATATGCATGTGCGCAAGCGCAGAATACGTTTTCGCGTGCGCGTTTAATGTATAACGGATGGTATAAGCTAAAATTATCTATTTCAGTTAATGTTGATGATTGCGTTGTTCCTTAATCTTCAAATTGGATCTGAATTTATTATTTTTTGCAGTTTGTAAGACAATTTTATAAAAGTAAGCTTGAACTTTCGATTATGTCAAATAGAATTTCCGATGCTGGAGCTCCCAAAGGATCTACAAAACGAAAGTATATTTCGATGTCCATCAAACAAAAAGTGGAATTGCTGCAAAAAATGGATAAAGGCATATCCTTTGTTTATCTAACTGTTACGAAATCTGTTTATCAATTTTATGCTGCTCTGCGCGGGGGGGGGGACGTCACGAAGCGCAATGAACTGGAAGTTGATCTGTCAGCACTATCGTTATCGTCAGGGCAGATGTTTTTATTTTATTCGGCTTATAATTGCTTACTAAATGTAGTATTTCATCTCGATGTACTACGTCTTTGATATGATTTAAATCAAATTCCTTGTCATTATAAATATCACGAATACAAATCAAATAGTTTTCTGGTTGCAATTTTCTAATTTCGGCTATGCATAATGTATGCTTTACGCATGTGCACGTTGAAAGAAATGTTTAATAAAGTAAACAAATAAATATTAAGCTTTTTTTTTTTTTGTAAATTTTGATACCCTTTAGATCATAATTGCTCATTATTTTATAAATTACGGTTTCATATTTTTAATTTTATAATTCCTATTATAAAATTAAATTTATAATTATTATTTTTCCGGATTATAGATCATCAGTTTCCAGATTTAAACTGATGATCTATAATCCGGAAAAATCGATAATCTGGAATCGCCAAAGTCCTGACGAGTCCGGATTAAAGACTTTTGACTGTATTTTCTCAATTACTACTACTAGAGACACATAAATGCAGTCTTAAAGTTTTTTTTCCCTGCAAACAAGTGTTATACAATATACTTTTTTTTAAAATCTTGTATTGATTTATGTATTTATCCAGGCTGAAAGGAAAGCCTTGCAGATGTTTATTTATCAGATTCTGCAAGTCTCTTTTGTGGAGATCCGAAACATGATCCTTAATTGTTGCACATTGACATCAAAATAATCATAAATATCTGAACTGGATTCAGCGAAACAAAACACTTCATTATCAATTTGATTAACATTATTTATGAAATAAACATAATTATTCCCTTTAGGCATCTCCATATAAAGCTTTAAAATAATGAGATGGCCAGTTGTGGTTCTTCCTTTCTTCCTAGGCAAATATACGATACAATTTGATTAGGGCAGCCACTTTCGAATTTCCCAGGCCCTGTTAAATGGACCAAGAATTTGACCGGTTTAGATAAGGCCATAACTAATGTTTACCGAATCAGATTAGAAAATCTTGTTCTGGTGGAAAGGTTTAATAATACATCTAACTACAGTAACAGAAGTTTACTACTGGAATAGCATTCAGGTAATGAGAAGCTAAACAAAGTGTGAACTTGATATTTTTTTCATTAAGTGTGATTGTTAAAATTTTTATGTATGTATATTCATTTCTTGAACTACTTTGGGAATGACCAATGGTTCCCAACCATTTTCCAGGCTTTTAAATAGCCGTCCATTTTTTTATTTTGTCAACATTTTTCAGAGAGCTACTTTGAACGTCTAACGCCACTAGATCAAAAAGTTGTTTTTAATTCTCACCTCCTCTTTGCAAGCAAGACAACCTAGTCTTGTCTGTTGAAAGACGAGTAGCTCATTCACCTCTGCGTTGGGCAGGAATAATGATGTGGCTCCTTGATTCTTCTTTAGGAGAATCAGCTTCACTTTCTGGGAGCAGAGTACATGTCGAATGAGTAATTGGGAACAAAATTTCCTTTGTGGCTATGTCCCTGTCATCTTCACTTCCTTCATTGTATTTTTGCGTGTTTTCAGTTTTGGGGTTGGCAGTTTAGTAGTTTCTTTGATATCGACTCCTGCACATTGGTTCTTGACGAAAGACTAGTTCTTTTTGATTTTCTGTTAATTTCACAGCAGTCTGGTTCCAAAATTAATAGCGTCTGTTTCTGAGTAACTGTAGTTTGCAATTTCATTTTGGTTATTTCGAATTCTCTTTTCTCGTTATTGTGCCCTGCCTTTCTTCCTCTTCTCTCCTAATTCTCTCCTGGATTTCTTTTTCTCTTTTGAATTATCTTTCTTCTCTCGTAAATATATCCTTCCTCTCTTCCTCTTCTCTTTTAATTCTATCCTGTTCCTTCCCCCCTCTCAATCCTCATTGAAGTGATATTTTCCAACAGACTTTTCACGAATTCGTTCTTATAAGCTTCATTTCTCATAATCAGCTGTTAATCCAATATCCTATCCTAAGTTGAGGTTCAACCTTTTCCCCTAACTCTTTAGCCATGGTTTTTAGATCTTC